TGTGTTTTATTTGATCACGGTACTGACCGCCTGCCAGCTGTCAGCTACCACTCTACGCGTTCTCAGCCGAGTCTCGTCCAGATTGTATGCAGTTTTGGTTCCTCGCATATACCGTACCATTTCATTCTGTGCAGCAAGTGAATGGGCGCTGAATGTGTTGAATGTCGACCCTTTCTTTCTCCGTTTCGGTCCTTCACGGGCCGCGGACTATCTCCAGCACGTGCGGCACCTACAGATCAAAGCTCCATTCCACCTTGTTCGGTTTAACCGATGTGCATACTACAACATATTTCGTGCAGCGGGGCTGCCGGAGTCTCCGGCTACACTGGGAGCCTCGGACGAGGCGACGGCACATCAGCAATTCCTAGACGACGTGAAGGATCAATTGCAGCTGATATTCACCCACCTGAAGCCGAATAGACTGAGCACGTTTGAGTTCGTATAAGCCGGTATCTGTCTATCGAGACCTGTGATTGACTAGCAATAGATGGCGCCTAGGGACATGTGTTCCGGTGGGAGTTCTCGACAAGGAAGGCTATCTCAGTCGGTACCAACAGCGCCTCACTCGTCTCTCACTCGTCACTGACGGTACCTGCCCTGAAACATTGCACCGCTTGGAAGGAGTGTCTAGACTATCCTGCCTGACGGCGTTTGAGTGGGAAGGACTCCAACATCCGTCCGAGGTTGATTTGTTACGACAGTGCATCCGTCGGAACTGGCGCCGCCTGGATCATCTGTCCATCGGCTTCGTTCCATCAGCTTTTGCCCGTGCTCTGTGCTGGGAGAGCCTTGGGCTTCAGCAATCGGAGCTCGGGGTCGGGAATATAGGTACCGGTGAGACAAGGAACGGGGATACAGGGATCGGGAATCTGACAGCTCTTCCCGCTCTGTCCACATTATCACTTTCAAAGGTGACCCTGCCTCCAGATATCTCATCAGAGCGCGATGCGATATTCTATTCCCTGCGAGCGCTCACGCTGCGCGACTGCCCGAATCAGCTGCGTCTCGTGCAATTACTGTCGCGGTCACAAAAGCCGCTCCGACTAACGCATTTTGAATTTTCTTTCGATTACCTGCTGCACGAACCGGGTGAAGGACGTAGCCTATCTGCTGTTGTGCGGTTCTTATGTTCGTTTCGTGGGCTACAGCATCTATACCTGAGGTTGTCCAACTTCCCGGCGTCAAAATCTCACATCCAGGATGCCATCCGACATCACCAGTCTACGTTGAAAAGCCTCGTCTACCATGAGCGCCAACTCGCTCCCATCGATGCCGATGGCTTATTTGAGGATGATCGTGATGTGTCACCCGCGTGGGTAACAAACTTGTCTGCCATTGTAGACCTGGGCCAGGTGTCTGCTCTGGGTCTGTGTGCTAGTCCATCTGCAGCTGTAAGTTTTCCTCCGTCCAGTAAACGTGTGCCCGCTAATGAGAACAGCGTCTGTGCCTTCGACCCACGGCCAAGCATTCCCAGCTTCAGATTCTACATCTGCGGTTCAGCGGCCTCGATCGAATCCACCGAGACATCCCACGAGAGATTACCACCTTTCTACATGAGACGCGCAAAGGGTACTCACGGCATCCTCGTTCGTGCTGGGGTTCTGTGAACCGGAATGCCTCCAATGATAACTACAACTACGGTCCTATTTTCGATGAGTACTTTGACAGGTCACAATTCGAGTATATGGACCCGCAGCAGGCAGTCCTTGCGTCTTCCGCAGCGATTGCAGAGGCCGAGGATCTCGTGTCGTTTGCTGAATGGGCATTCGGCCCCCACGGACTGCCGGCTCTGCAGGTCCTCGCGTTTGGGGACTTCTCCCACGGTGATCGATACCGGAGCCAGCAGTTTCTAATGCGTCGTGCCTATTCTCCATGGGAGTGTGGTGGTAAGGTGCTTGCAGGCCTTGCATGCGATGATACGACGCGGCTGCCCTTTCGTCCGGCAGATATGAGTGACCCTTCGATTTGGGACAGTGCTGTAGTAGACGGGGCTCGTTTTTTGTCCGCATGCCCAGGAGGCGGATTGATGGAGTCACCGTACGAGCTGTAGGCCCGCATTTTGTCTTTCTGGATTCTTCCTTGTGGTTCGCGGGGGCTACGCGACGCAACGCGTCCCTTGATGGATTTTGTCAAAAAAAGCAGTTGCATATGATCGTGATCTGTCTTGCTCTTATTCATACTTAGAAAATGAATCTTTTGCGGCCTTCATATTCAGTCTACAGTAGTTCACTGTACAGCGATTTTCGAAAACAGTTTACCCATCAGACACTCAAACTTCGTTTCTGGGCCCGTACCCGAAACAAGCTAAACTCTTATTGGGGCAAGTGGTAAGACATTGTCCACTTATAGATCAGTTCCATGTACGAGCTAGCCTTATCTGGCCTAGCGTTGTCTCGGGTACGGGCCGAGAAACAAAGTGTGAGTGTCTGAGGGGTAAACTGTTTTCGAAAATCGCTGTAAGCGTACAGTACAATAATATGAACTCGTAAGGCCTGTCTTAGCATTATCCAAGCAAGTCCAACAGATACTGTACAGTACAGAACTCGTAATTCATCAATTTAGCAATCCGCAAACCGACACTTCTCCACCATTCTGATTTAATATTATTTTGTAGCTTTGTCTTTCCCGTAGAATTGAGCAGGTTCGGCGAAATGTTAAGCGGTTCCTACGCACACCCGCGGTTCCTTGCTGCCCCCCATTTATATGAGCGTGACCGGGCGTAATCGACCGACAGTACAAGGATATCCACCCATAGCAAGGCATCCTTTATTGAGTCTGGCAGTGAATAAGGACAGTTCAATGCGGGCGTGTTTATTACGATAGTCAGCTGTGTGGTGAAAGCATCCTCTGTGACAGCATGGAATCTCCCTAGAAGCTAGTCTATTGTACCGAGCTCTTTTGGCTTTTGATATAAAAGATACTCTGTACACGATCCAGACTTACTCTTTTCTTCCTGGTCCTCTACTCTCTGAAAATCAACGAGCTTTCGATTCCCTACACTTCAATGGAACAGGTTCCTCCTGTTTCTCCCTCCCCGTCGGGACGAGCTAATAAAAGAAAGCGCGAATGTCCAGATCAGTTCAATAGTCCAATCGGCATCCCAGGAAGCCCCGAAGATGTGACCGATTTCACTTTGCCCTTTTATGGCTGGCTCTAACCATCACATAGACAATTCCGACCGGCGCGGCCTGCTCCCTAACTAGCGATATGGCACAGATCCTTCAAAACCCTCATTCTTCGCCGTCCTCTGCCGTTGACCTCCTGGACCTGTATTTGTGTCTGTGGGAGTGCTACACGATCAAGTCGGCCGGCAAAATACGCTTGGAAGAGGAACGTCGCTACCTGCAAAACTCACAAAAATGGCTGGCGGAGGAGAACAAAAAGCTTCAGCAATGCTGCAATCATCAAGAACTGCTGCTGTGGGATCGTCGTCAGGCCTTTCTCTCTGTACACCAGGGCGTTCTCGGAACATTGCAGAATAGTGACAGACACTCGTGTCAGATAAGTGAGCTACAATGAGTTCATGCAGGGGCAAATTGAAACACGCTAGCTTCAGTTGACCAAGGCTTGGGGTGTAATAGCAAATAGCACAGTGTGACCGGTCTTGTGGTTCTTGCGTGGAACCACGCCGGCAGGAACGACCGGTGGAAAAGTTCAACGGAGTATGAGTGGGGCGGGCATTCCTGACACCTCACCACCAATGTACACTTTCAACGGAAATTGGATCATTCACCGTTTGCTTCTACGTAAACCAGGAGAACCCATCACTTGGTAACATAGCCTTCTCTTGAACATGGTCAAGCCTCTCGGACCTAGTTCTTTTTCTTTCTTCTTCTTTTCAATGGGCTTTCTCTAACCTAGAAGCTAGCCACCCTGGCCTCTACATATAGACCCAATAAAACCCCATCATATCCTACCTCCATAAACTGTCTTTCATCGCGAACGTGGCACTTGCTGCATGAGGATAATGGGACAACTTGATCAAATTGGTTAGTTGGATGATCTTCGATACTTAATGTCGGCGCTGATGGTCCCTTCAGACTATGATTTGGATCTAGATCTTGAGTCCATTTGGCGAGAATTTCCCAATATGCCGACACTGCCACCTTGCCCCGCAGAAAATGGTAGCTCTCTGTGCTCAAACCAACCAATCGGCGGATGCTTAGAGTATACTCAGCATGGGGATAAGAGGGTTCCTGCCATCGAATATGTCTTCTACCCCAGCTATGAGAATTTCTGCGCCTTCAGCTGGACAGGGCCGGATCCGTTATCCCACGACACGTGCGCCGATGATATTTTCCTTTATGTATCCGCGTTTCTGCTTTTTGAGCGGGTGAACTGGATAGAACTCCGACTCAATAAGTTCAGTACGGAGACTGAAGAGGCTGTCGAAGAGTATCCGTTCTTCCTTCCGCGGGTTGAGTCAATGCTGGGCAACTTACGAAGGATACGTGGTCAAATAAGTGACATTCTCTCGCAGCATTCTACTATGGAAAACATATCAAGCGCTGGACAAGCACGGTTTCAGTTAGCTATATGGCCGCGGGTAGAGGTCACAGACAGTTCCACGATGTGGGATTCGGTTCCATTATCTGGCATTCACCCTTCTACGTCCATGCCATTTCTTGATCCACAAGACTTTGTGCAGAATATAGTGGGAAACTGGGAAATCTGAGCATCCTAATTTCGTGGGTCGCCAGTTCTCAGCGTGACGGTTGGGCGTGGTGCTTGAAGGCTTGCCTCAGGATTCTTCGCCTTTGACCCAAGCTTTGCTTGTCAGCGATCCTATAGGGCTTTCCAACACGGTTTCTTTGCCTTTTTTCGTTTGCCTCTAAATGAAACTCGTCACGTCACCGCTGGTGTTCTATCTCGCCGTGAAGGGCGTAGTTTCACCTTTTTGTTCTCCGGGTGTCTGCTTCTGTGGCAATAGTTTATTCGCCTTTGCCAATTCGGATCCAATCAATATAGTGGCTTTCTGTTTCCAGTATTCGCCTCTCGTGTATTTTCGGTCGTCTTAATCTTTGATCCAACCTAAGCAAGGGTTGACTCATCCGTGAACGGAAAATGCCTTTTATTAATGACTTCATCCTCCATATGCCAGCTCTCAACTAGATACCTCGTAATGTGGCTTTTGTCACACTGAGATACATAAGATCTATGGTCTGTGGGATTTCTGAGTCAAATTTCAGACCGTTCATTCAATGAATATTTGACAACAGGTTCAACGGAAATGGAGGAGCTCCAAGACCGACTTGGCTACCACTTCAACTCCACTCCATTGTTAGAAGAGGCTTTGCATCCAGCTGGAACTCGTCCGCTGCAAGGCAACAAGCGTCTGGCACTCGTTGGAGACTCCGTTCTGTCCACTTCACTTCTGGACGAATGGTACGGTAGTGAAAATACCATCGGCACGTTGAACTGTGAAATCGCTAATTTATGATGAGTTCTGACTAGACACAGAAGATGGGGATCACATACTGCGAAAGAATGCTTGCAACAAACATTTGAGCTGCAAAGGTGAGGCGTGTGAGCTGGACGACTTTATAACCGGCCAACCGGCACAAAAGGGTGAGATCACTAATGGCACTCGTGCGACGACGGTGGAAGCCATTCTTGGCGCTGTTTGGATTGATTCAGGAAAGAACATTCATGCTGTCGATCGTGTAAAAGCCAACTTGGGTATCGGTGTGTAATACTGGCTAGTGCGGAAACCTACTGTGATGTTCGATGTCCCTATAATTTTGTGATTTCGTTTAATTCGGAGGCTACTCAGATCGGTAGGCAATGACTTAAAGAAATGCAATGATGGTGTTGTTTTTCCTTCCTATCTCTTCTTTCATTTACTAAGTATCATGGGCAATCCTGGGTTGTTCCACAACCGGTGACAGGTAAATGGGGGCGTGTTATAACATGCGGTGGTTCCATTCACGGCGTAATAGGTCTGCCAAAAGTTGCTACAGGATGCACTGTTGTAGTACAGCTGGTCTTTGTTGGAGTACCAGGAATTGAAGTTACTCGTGACGGATATATCCAATTGCTCCTGCTGTGTCAATGAGCGATTAAGTTGTAGACTGCGAGAAATGTAGGCGTTGGAGATATTTCGTGCCAGAACCGAGTCAGTGAATTGGGTGACACCGAAATCTCCGGTGCAGTTAAGCTGTGTCCAGGCAATGAGTTGAAGTGGAGCAAAAAGCGTCTAAAGCTAGTCAGCGAAGCCGCGAGACGGAATGTTCAATTAACTACGTTGATGGCAGGCTGAACATCAAGTTCAGGTCTTGGCGCAGCCGCTACAGCGGTAGCTATAGCTAGAGTGATCATTGCTGCCAGTATCTTGGATTGCATGATTTACAAACGAGGACATTGTGAAGGCTGGGTTAGGGAACTGACCGCTTTTATTTTGGGAACAGTAATGACGTCAGTGAGGACAATGACCGGTCGGATTGAACAGGGGACCTCAAGTCCCTCAAATAATTGTACCAACCATTTTCCATTGGGCAAAGAAGCTGAGGACCGATAGTGCAGTGGTTCAGTTGATGGAAGATTATATTCAGTTATCCTACATGTTTGGGCGCGTTTGTGGGCCTTAAAAGTTGCGGATTCAACCGGGTTCCCAACCGGCAGTTAAGAAGCAAACCGTTAAGAAGCAAACCGTTATGAAGCAAACCGTTAAGAAGCAAACCATAGTTGAACCGTGTCGTTTGCATACAGTACAGCAATGCGGAAAGACAATTTTCCCTGTTCAATTCCTGGTCAAGATATGCCTTCGCGCCTAACTACCTATGCGTGTGTCCTTCTGGATCCCAAGGACCTAATATGGTTTGGGTTGCGATCAACGATATACCTTGACTTAGGGTGGAAACGCTTCCATGAACTAATGCCAAAGCTCTATATTCTCCCGTATACTTTATAATCAGCGCCACTTAGGGCTCACTTCTTTAAAGCCTTCAGCTAATCTCTCGGCCCAAATAATTATGAATTGGTTTATTGGCACTAAATTGTGGATGGATGCAAGGTATGAGGAGCTCATGATTTACGTGCTTCAAATACTAATAAAATGCTAAGCAATAGAACCAAGAGATCTTTTCGCCCCTCGAAATCTTCTCGAAAAGAAGGCGGTTCAGTGCCTCCTGTGGAGTGTGCTGAATCTACGAGACGAAATGCACACACCAGCCTACCCGAGATCGGCACGCTTCGCTGCCAGCTTTGCCATGGCCGGCGATCGTCTTTCTATCATACCAATCACCTAGAAGATTCATTAATATTCCCTCGAGAAGGAATCTGCTCGCGAAGGCGGACCGGCTGTGCGGCGAACAAGGCCAGGCTCCAAGCTTTCCATGGTGCCCTCCCTGTGATACATGAACTGCCGGCGGAAGATACGATTGCCAATGAGCTGAAAACTCAACCATTGTGTTGAGACCGCCTCAATCGAAGAGGCCTCCACTAGAGGCAGGCGCAGCGAATCCGACACGCGGTGCGCGTAGGCGAATTTGAGTGAAGTGTTGAAACCAACTAGGCTATTAAGGTGCAGAATGACGCTGGTAGGGATTCATGGTTCGGTAACTGTGATAGTAGACTTTCAGTGCCCTTGTGCCAATCTATTTTCTACCCACTTCGAGTGGTTGCTCATCTCGACTTTTCCGGTTTCCGTATCAATTTTTGTGGGCGATGAATACTGTAGCTTACGGTTGTCCACTGGAATTCGTCGTTCTTGGTGAATACGCTTGCCCTCTCCCGCTCCCGAGGCTGTGTGTGTTGGATCCTGGCGGTCAACTGCAGACTCGACGCTGCCGGGCAAATCGTCATTCCCATCCGGTGCAGGGCTCATATCGGGGTCGAGAACGATCAGCTGGAGATTTCTTCCTGCGTGTGGCTGTACAGTCTTCGTCACGGCCTCACTTATTGACGGACCTGCACATACTGCGTAGATTGTTAGCACCGTAACCGTAATATTGCGCTCTTCAGCGCACTGAAGTGGATGGAGGTTGGACTTGGGAAACTCACCCGCTACGGCCATGGCTCCGCGTTGATTGTTGAGATACCGCGCAACTTCCTCCTCGATCTTGATCGAGCCATAAAAGTAGCAAAGCATTGCGTTGTGCTCGTAGGAAAGGTTTTCCTGGGGACTTGATTGAGTACGCGGGCAGTAGATGCTGAACCGCAAAATCTGAAGCACGGTCAGGTCGCAGCGCACAGAATGAGCTGCAGTAGCAGAAAACTCACCTTGAACGATCTCCAGTCGCGATTGAAAAGGTCTTGCATCCATTCATTTACCCATTGTGGATTTTCTGCCAGAACTTCAGCCACCTTTCAGACTCTAAAAAAGTACTAGTCCAAGATAGAAACATACCATCTTTGCCAACTTGTCGCTTCCAGAGAACCTCTAGCTTTCGCACCATTACTTCTCGCTTGCGGCTGGCCTCCACCAACATTTCAATGTATGAAAGCGCTCGGAAAAACCCGATGTCCTCTACCACGAAGAGGATTGTACCGAACCGATAGAAATCGAGAGGGTGTCCGTACGGTCCGAGTATGATGGCCGACTGCTTGACTGGGGATCTCAGTGCTTCGTGGTACAGCTTTCGCGCAAGCCCAGGTTGAGGCTCTGCTACCATACGGACTATTCTTTGAGTTGGTCCATCTTCCCAGAATGCAATATAGAACTGAGGAAGCTGAAAGAAAGCGCGAAAGCCGGCTCGTGGCATCCAAAGCTGCACATACTGGCCAGGGCGGATCGCTCGGTTGAGAGGTAGCTCTATGTCAAGCCAAAGGAAATGGCTTACAGAGTTCATGACTACCTTATTTCGGGACGATCTCCAAGGTTTCTGATCCCATGCGGCCATTGTGCAGACAAGAGCGCTAATGAATATCCACAAGCAGATAGCGCCTACCAGGTACCACCGATACAGTGAGTGTCGCTCCACCAGATGGTATATAAGCGCGCCAATCGCCGTTGCTGCAAGAAGGTAGTGACATTTCATCGCAAATTGTAGGTGTCGCCGTTGGGCCGCCGCACAAGTAACAGGTATCATGAGAACGAGAGCACAACCTGCCTTTATTTGATGAGATGTTGATCTGCGCAATAGGCACACTTAGCCTCGGAGTATGCTTTACTTACGGCTATTGGAATTATGTATCGTGAGTTTGCCAAGTCCATCGTTCTGGCGACAGTAACGAGCAGCGAACAGTGTAACAGAGAATGGAGCACGCAAATGCGACCTACCCAGCGATGGAACCACGCGAGCATCTGGCGGTCCACGTGGAGCAGATCCGCCGGAAGACCAAAGCTGATACCGGTGCACAAAGGCACGAGGTTGATGACTGCCATGGAGCCAGCCCTTTTCTGTGCTTCTGCCCAAGAATGGGCTCGAAGTCGGAGGCCAACAATGTTCCCCGCCAGCATGACAGCCAGGATTAGCGCTTGCCAGTAATTTGAGATGTCCAGCCAACGCATGCATTTTGGCAGGTGGACGAAGGCAAACCGTCTCCAAGGTATTAATATTTTCGACCGGAAAGGGCGACGAAAGAACACATGGCGTCTTGTCCATGCCCAGCGCCACACATCACGTGCAAGCCAATAGATCAAGCAAATTGCTATGATTATGGCCGCTGAGATGGCATACAAGTTAGGGAGAGAGGTGTCAGCAATCCATCGATACCACTTTGACCCGATTGGGGGCATTCTTTTGGCTGTCAGCCTAGAGAGAGGGCCAGTTATTCTTATAGAGACGCATGAGTATTGTGTTATAGTCATTGTTTTTCTATCAATAAAGTTGGCTTTGTGGCCATGGGTGATAAGACAGCTGCGGTTTCTTGCGGCATGTTTCTTGCGGGCTCAAACGACCGATTACGCGGTTTGCCTTCCACGTAATCCCTGTTAGAGCGATCCCCGCAGCAAAATAATCTTTGATCTAACATACAAAATTGGGTATTTTCCTCTCCGGTATATTATCCTGTGACCAGTCATGGCATCATTAATCCTTCTGTATACCTCTTCTTTCTTCATATGCAAGTCTCGCGGGTAACAATGTTGAAAGCTGGTAAGTCTGAATACCTCAGAGTTTGATACAAGATCCGGTCAATCTGAGCTAATCATAGTAGATCTCTAAGGTTGCTTTCCATCGGGCTGCTCTGGGTACTGCAGCCTCTTCTTTGCCAATTCGGACTTCAGTTCGTTGTTCTTGAGCTCTAGGGCGCAATTTTCTCCCTGAAGGATCTTGATATGTTCAAACAAAGACTTATTTTGCTCCTCCAAACTGGCTTTTTCATTTG